TATCAATAAGAGCATACATGCCATTAACCCCAATGCTATGCAATTGCTATGCTATGAGTTTGTGCTGGTAGTTCTTCTAAAAGTTTTGTTGTGTATTTCTGCACATTCTCCAGAAATTTCTGCATTTCTGTGTTATGTAAAAAAATCAGGCATATGCTTATAGTTTTGTGTTTTCATCAGATTTTTTTTAATTTTATTGACAGGAGGCATAGAAAATTCTGTGATCAATGCTGTTGACATCGGCGCTAAGGCGTTCGCTTTGTTCTTGAGATCACAGAGACAGTGGGTCACCAAACCATTAAAAGAAGGATCAGTGGAAAAGTTCAAAAAGAATTGTGAGAAGTATAACTTTCCTCCCCATTTAATCATACCACATGGATCTTATCTAATGAACTGTGGATCACCTGATCCTGAGATTCTGGAGAAGAGTCGGAGTACTCTTGTGGAAGAATTGGAGAGATGCAAGAGTCTTGGTTTGTCCATGTTTAATTTCCATCCAGGTGAGTAGTAGATTATATATGATTTATTGCTCTGTTTATAATCACATTTGTATACAGTACTCATTCGACTTAGCTTCCAAAATCATGATTTTCAAGGTGTGGAAGGTTAGTAAAGCACCCCCATAAAAAAATTAAAAAAATTACGAAATGAGTTGCATCATCATTGATTTCCACAACATTTTTACAATGAAGAAAAAGAAATGTTGTAAAAATTACCAAGATCTTCATCATTATCTTTGTTTTCGATTGTATCATGCGAAGTACTTTCCACCATGATGATTTTCTTCAAGATTTGACCTGCAACAATATCCTCTGACCTGATAGGTCAAGTCTGTTATTAACCAATCAGAATGTTGTGTCATATTGATACAATTTCCTGAGAATTTCCAAATTTGTTATGGTATTTTCAAAAACACCTAGGGATGATGTGACTAATATCTCATTACAAATTCAAATTTATGCAAACATTACATATATGGGAGTTCATAGACATATATGCAGCATTCAACTCACTATATGCCTAGGTACGGTGCTGGTAATATCTCATTACAAATTCAAATTTATGCAAACATTACATATATGGGAGTTCATAGACATATATGCAGCATTCAACTCACTATATGCCCAGGTACGGTGCTGGTAATATCTCATTATCAATTAAACTTTATGCAAACATCACATGTATGGAAATACTGTTTTAGACACAATTGTACGGGCAAAGTGAACTTCCTAAAGGCTAATGTCGCATGAAATACGATGTGAGAGGTTCAGTTGAATTACTGCTTTTGTTGACAGGATCATCTTGTGGTGAGATCCCAAGAGAGGAGTGTCTTGATAGAATTGGTGCAAGTATCAACCAAGCCCATGACAAAACACAGGATGTCGTTACTGGTAAGTGAATTGGTGAGAGTGTCAGCCAAGCCCATGACAAAACACAAGATGTCATCACTGGTAAGTGAATTGGTGAGAGTGTCAGCCAAGCCCATGACAAAACACAAGATGTCATCACTGGTAAGTGAATTGGTGAGAGTGTCAGCCAAGCCCATGACAAAACACAAGATGTCATCACTGGTAAGTGAATTGGTGAGAGTGTCAGCCAAGCCCATGACAAAACACAAGATGTCATCACTGGTAAGTGAATTGATAACGATACTGAAATGTCATAGTGGTCATGAAGGGTAACAATGGCGAGACATTACATTGTCATTGAAAGGTCACAATGAGATGTCAAACTTGTAAAAGGCCACAACGACGAAAGTCACATTGTGGTAGGTCTGGTAATGACATGGTGAGATTTTGTAATATTTTTTTCCCCGCACTAACTAAATTCAACATATTTGTTTTTTTTCATAGTTATTGAAAATATGTGTTGTCAAGGCAACACAGTTGGTGGAAAGTTTGAGGAACTAAGGGGCATCATAGACAGAGTGAAAGACAAGTCACGCATTGGTATATGTTTGGATACTTGTCATATGTTTGCTGCAGGTAATGTGGACTCTGAGAACCTATTATTATACATCTGTCATCGTAACGCCATCAGTTACAGCGTGCCATAATTTTGCAGTATTTTATGGGGTATTTTCATCCTACCGTATTAGGAAATGCAAATTTCATATATGAAATGATTACACGTGTAAGTGTCCTCTAATAATAAAAACAAACATGGCTGCCACCAGGGTTTGACCGGACTCATACAAAGAAGTTTGCTGATTCTGTTCTAAACTTTTTAGATTTCGGCATTCCCATGATGTATCCTTGGTAGGAAAAGATATACCGGTATAATAATAAGGTTATTACGAAGATACCTCAAAGTATGCACAAAGACAGTACGCTGCCGCATCGGCCTCCACTGGGTGTTGGTCGATACTGTCGCTGTACTGTCTTCGTGCATATTTTGAGGTATCTTTGTAATAACCTTATAGCATGGAAGGTACTAACCGAAGGAGCCATGAGCCTATTATTTTAGCTTTACCCTATGATCGTTTGTCAATGTTTGTTCACAAACAGTGGTTCTTGTTAGCTCTTGTCACCTTCTTACAATGGGTTACGCTAATCTCGAGCATTCGGTAATATTCGGAGCATGTTCGGTAGCAATAGATGAACTGCGCACGCACAAGATTGAAAATGACGTCTAGTTGGAATGTTGTTGTTTCGGAGATATTGGCGATTTTTAATGAAAAATTGGCAGATATAACACCGATTGAAGAAGAACTAATGAACTATCGTGAATTTTTGGTATTTGTAATGGTGATGAGACTTAATCAATGATTGCCTGTGACAATAACGATTGCATTATTCAATGGTACCATCGTCAGTGCGTGGGTTTGACGCCCGAAACTGTTTGACATTTTCGACCACCTGGTATCGGCTAACTCCACCAGAAAAGATAGTATCTAAAGAAGGGCATACCTAGACACTTTCTCTGCGATAATATTTTTTAGGGGTTTTTAGGAATTTTTGTTGTAGACGCTCGAAATCTTGTTCTTGTTACAATTGCTAATAATGGAAACGTGTGAAATCTGTGAAATTAAACGTTCATCTGTTGTATTTCTGGTTGTGAAATGCGTATTTTAACCTTTCACACCTAAACAAACCGAGTGCGCATGTGTAGTTTCATAATGCGCATATATTTTATGCTCACGTTAAAAATCGGCGCGGTTATATCATATTCCGCTAACTCGTTACGTGTGTAAACAATCGCAAACTATCATCGACATCAAAGTTGAGCTAGACAATGTCCTTATCAGGATTAACTTGGGTTGAAACAAAAGGAAATATGCCAGTTAAGGTAGAGATGCAGGTTCGTGGGCACTTGGGAGTGAATTTTTTTTTTTTGCTTTTTATTTTACAAACAGTCTTGGCTGTAGACTGTTAACATTTTGTAGAATTGTGAATAGTGGAACATACTCAAAAGACGATTTTAAAATATAGAAAACAGGTACAAATATTCTCTCTTTTGAATGCTTAGTAAGATTTAACAAGGCTGTACATAAATAATAAAAAAGAAACATGGTGAAAAAAAGAAATGACGGGTTCTCCATATTATGCACTATATTTAACTTTTAATAAAACTAAAATACATTTAAATTTGGACCTGTTACAGCCATTTTAATTATGAGCATTAGCAAACTTCTTACTGAGTGAATTGTTATGCAAATTAGCAATTATCTCAGCTTCTTTTTAGCACAACCCAGAACTTTATAGCTTTATAACTAAATAGCTCCTAGACGCTTTGACCTTTTGTTTTGAAATTTTCACAAATGATTGACAATGTGTTTATCTTCAAAACGCCGTCGGGGGCATTGTTTTTGGTTGAACAGTGTTACAACAATCGTACAGACAACTAGCCTGGGTGTTAATTTATGCATAAACGTGAAGTAGTGAAATTTGAGCTGCTGCCCTGCAAAATTGACAACTGGTAGACAGTTTTCAAGACGGCACTTTCTTCATAGTAAACAGATGTACCCATAAACCAATTTTGACAGGAAACAGAAGCATGGTTTAGAAGCTAATTTTTTTTAAATCACTTTTGACCAAAAAAGCACATTTTTGTGCATATTTCAAACTACAATGTCCATAAAAAAATACTAATACAATTTTAAAATTCATACTATAAGCTTTCCGAAAATATATAGTTTTGTGGACAAGGGAAGTCATCTTGGTTTCCTAATTAACTAATTAAAATATCTGTCAGGTAAACTGCATCTCTTTAAGTGGCCGCTTGAGAGGTGTGTGGCTCCTTCCATTGTTACCTTCCATGCCTATAGTAATACCAAAATCTAAACATCAGAAATTATTTTATTAATTTTTTTTATACAACCTATTCTATGATTTATTTGTCATGTGGGATATGGATTA